CCATTTACTCTCTTCTCGTTGAACAGACAAATATATATGCTCAGAAAAAAAAAAAAGAACCCAGAATTTATTGCATTGGAAGCCTATATGAGAAGATTTATTGGAATATTATTGCTTACAGGATATTATTCTTTATCTCAAGAAAAAATGTATTGGTCTTTTGATAAGGACATTTCTGTTCCTGTTGTATGAGAATCGATATCATGTTTGCAGTACAGAAATATGAAGCAGAATTTGCATTTGACAATACTGATAAGTTATATGAGGTGAGAGTGTATATAAACTTACTAAATATCACCACTTTTTACTACTGGAAATATAAAATCTCTTTTAGATTTCAGACACAAGAATGCATTATTCCTTTTGCAAACTCCTATTAAGAGTGTAGAATTAGCCAGAAATAGATCAGCAACAGGAAGACCTAGTAAATTCAGTATTCAAAAACCATTGCATGGAGATGGTAGACATTTTATCGTAATGTCCATTGATAACAAAAGACTTTGTTGTAAAGAGTACCATAGCCAGACGGTTTATAGATGCAAAGTATGTAATGTAGCTTTACATCATGATTGTAATCAAGCTTTTCATGATTGAATCTTTCAATTGAGATAATCTGTATTTGTAAAAGAAATACAATGTATATTTTAATATTAAATTAATTACAAGTAAAGTGATTTGTAGATTTATAAAACGTTATACAGCTAAAAAGTAATCCTGCGCTCCACTCAAAAGAAACATCACACGATTACAATCCTACTCACTAAACATCCATAGTCTTATTCCGCAACACTCACGTTTTCCACAGGTAAGAGCATTTTTTTTATTTTCAATGTAAATTTATGTTATAAATGCTTAATATAATATTTGTTATTATTTTCATGAGAAAAGAAACATTCCTTGTAGTTTTGGTGGTTTATGGGTTAAATCTGTCTCTATCATGACCACTGTCAAAGATGGATGTGTGTTGATTCAGGAGGCAGAAGTTTTTACTATCGATATAATATTCTAAATCGATGCCCTTGTAGTCATTAGAGGGGTATCCCAGCATATGTTGTGGACATTGAAGTCTCTTCTTATGATTACTTTTGAGGTCTGGTTGTGCTGTAGTACGGTGTCTATGCAGGAGGCAATGTTGGAAATGTCTTCTATAAATGGTGAGTAAATTCAGGAGAGAACACGGTACTTGTTGGTGAATTCTAAGAGAATGTCAGAATGGTTCTTATTGGTGGAGAGCACTATCGGAATCTACTTTGTGTGGCAGAAAATAATAATTGCTTGCAGTATTTAAGCTAATAACTGAAATTATAGTACTGAAATGATATAGAATATGAGAATAATTATAGTCAATTTAAATAAATTTCTATTTTCATTTAAAATTTGTCATTATTAGCACCTCCCGCAGTTTTATGCAATCATAGGATTTTCCGAATTCTATTAGGACCTTAACATGATTTCAAGGCCTAATGCAAAAGTGATAATATGGAAAGACTATGTCTTAAGTACCAATAGCCAAGTATTTGTAATTAAATAATTAAATAAAAATAAATATTGAATACCAGCCACTTTTTTATTTATTTTTAGTCATATAACAAAAGATAAACAAGAATACTATTACATTCTAAAAATTATTTAGTAAATTATTTTGCTAATTTTATATGGATGAGGAAACACGGTAAAAATGTTTTAATGATTGAATTCACCGTTAAAAATCAAACAAACCCCAAAATTCCTTTTTTCCAAAACTGTGTAAAATGTTTTGATTAAATATGATTTGAATGAGTTTTCCAATTCTGTTTTAAGTGATATAAATTAGAATATAAATATTATTAAAGTAGGATATAAATATTAGGATATAAATTATTATTAGTAATAATTTGTATATTATATCTTAACAGAATATTGTTTACCGTTAAAAATTATAACTAAAGAATTAAATTTTGTAAAAGAATAAAAAATATAATTAACTGTTCCATTATGTCCTTTATGCATCTATTTATATAAAAATGGAATCTGGCTAGGGAATTTACGACTTGTATATGAACTAAAAATTGGTATCTTGACAAAATTTGTCAGAGCATAATATTCTGTGATATTAGTGTATTATCATAGTTCTGTACATAAGTGCAGTTTATATTACCAACATAAGTAAATTGGTATCTTGTGTCAGAGCATACATATATTCTGTGTATATCATAGTTCTGTATACATAAATGCAGTTTATAATTACCAGCATAAGTATCATAATAGATTTTATTAAAGCGACGAAAACTGAATGCATGATCCTAGCATTATCAGACTACGGCTCTTTATCTTGTTAAGTACTGCTTGGGTCATAACCAACACGAGTTCTAGTTTTGAAATATTATTCCAAATAAAACAAGAAATGTTAAACGATATGCATTTTAAACAGTTTTACTTTTTTATACGCATAAAAAGTTAAGTAGTTTTAAATTGTACTTCATTTCTGAAACTTCTGCTGTACCATTTTTAGAACAGATCAAGGACTTTAAAGAACAAGTACATTTTAGCAATATGCAACGTTAATGATATAGTGTAAATGTTATTGAACAGCTGTACGATTTGTAACTGGCACTGGAAGAACCAAAATTTATCTGATGATCCAGTCTTCATTTAATGAATTAATAGAGAATGATACAGGGTGATCTGCTGGTCAGCATGTTAGTTACATACGAAAGCTAAACTACTTTCTTTTTTTCTGCCGACAATGAGGCAGCCAATCCACTGGGGCAGTTAGCATAGGTAAACTACTATTTGCTTGTACAAAAACTGTACTTAAAGCTTACAGCTTATTTTAAATAAATTTCGTATACTGAATACAGCTCTTCCGAAAAGCGCTGTTTTCTATCTTATTTGTTTCAGATTAAAGGAAAATAATCAGTTCTGTTTCTCAGAGACGTGATTCCTGCCTATTTGTTTTTCGTGGTTTTCTACATGTGTAACCCAGTTCCACGAAGGCCCATAGCTCTCATATGCTTTGTTATATTTAAATGACCCTAATCCTCATACTACGACAACTATCACTCTAAATTAGGGTAGAAGATTTCGAAACAAGATTTTAAATGAAAGAATTGCTGCAAAATGCACGAAGTATAAGTAGCTATATAAATAATTAAAAATATGCGAAATTTCTTCTGATGGCCTCTTTCAAACAGCATAATATTTCTGCAAAGAAGTAGCACATATTTAGTTAACTCTTGGTATTTAGGGCTATGAACAGAAGGTCGATTTGGGGCTATGAGCAGAAGATTTTTATATTACTTCCTGATAAGCTAACGAGTTCAAATTTTGTAAACATATTGATTGCGGATGGTAATACAATATAGTAAAACAAATTTTATAAAATTCCATTAAATTTTTTTAAATTTTTATTAAATTAATTAAATTTTTTTTTAATTTAATGTTGACACAATTTTTGCACATATTTTCATTTGCAAGACAAACTGCAAAAGTGAAAACTTTAACGTTTGCATTGACGTAAAATATTCTTTTAATTGAAATTTGTATGATATTTTTAACATAACTTCCGATTTCTGAGTGATAAATCAGAAAATGTTTTCGATTATTTGAGACATTTATTGGAAGTAAAAAAAAAATAGTATTCATTGTTATTCATTTACTTTATTGGAAGTAAAAAAAAAAAATTTTATTCATTTTTGAAAAATGATTTTTCAATTGAAAATTTTCATTGAAAATGAGTTATTAAGATTAAGAAGATAAAAATTTTTAAAGTTTTATAACATAAGCTTTTATTCAAAACTTATAAAATTCTTAATAAGCCAAAAGCAAAAAATAATTTATGGCATATTTTAATGGGAACAAGAGATTAATTAAACTTCTTTACAATATTTATGTGCAATTTATATCAAGGATTATAAAAGTGCAGACACTTAAGTAACGAAATCAAACAATCGATTTCCAATGTCAAAAATATATATAGGGCATGACTTTTTTTTATTATTCATGATATAAATTTGTAAATGAATTTTGTAAAGAATATTATTTAATCTCTTATTCCTATTAATCTATATAATAAATTAGGGTACTCTTCTGTTATTGGGATCGGATTAAAAAAAGTATGTATGCATGTATATAAGGATGTATGTGGATATATATACATGTGTTTACACACATATAAATGCACAGACACATGCACATGATCTATAAAAATCTCCTTTTCATATTTTTTTTTTTATTTCTTACACAACGTCTAAAACAGAAATTATTTCCTCTTCCATTAACTTTCTAACTGGTAACAAATTTCTTATTACTTTAAAACCAGTGTAAGGTCGCCGTTTTTATAATTTTTATTTAATTCAATTTTGTTTTATCTTGATATTTCAGATTCTCAGTAGTGTATTATTTTAGGTAAATTTTAATATTTAATTTTTTTCATTCAACAAAAGGGTGTAGTTTTATCATGATAAGTACTAGAAAATCTGCCCCTTTTTAATAGAAATTACCATATATTAATCATAAATATATCAAGCTTCCTTGTTATTTGACTCTATTGAATACTCTATTGTACTGTCATGAAATATTATTTTCAGTCATTTCTGTATAAATAACTCTAATATTAAATTTATGATAAAAAACATGATTGCTTAAGGAATTTTAAAATAATGTACAGAATATTTAAAATTATTTGATTTTCTGTTTTTTACGCAAGTTTTCATAATTTTATAAATTTATGTTCATTCACTTATTAGTATTTATTTTAAGTTTCCCTTAATTTTTCCCTCCCTTATTGGACTCTTAGTTTTTATACTCGTCATCATATGTACTAAAGTATTTCTTTGTCCAATGTAAAGAAAATTTAGTTTTTATTTATTTTGGGGCTTGTATTTCATATTAAAAAGAGGCTACTTTATGTTCCCTTTTAGGTATTATGGTAATAACTAAATTCAACTTGCTGATCTGTGGGAGAGGGAATTAATAGAATTTTTTTAATAACTGTGCTTTTTTTTTTTTTTTTTTAACAGAGGGAAAAGATCACCTGACTTCTAATCTGCAAAATGCTCATAAAGTAATATCAGATGTTAGACATGAAAACAATATTCTTCATGGGAAATTGACAGCCCTTGAACTGCAAGTTTCTTCTCTAAGAGAAGAAAAAGAAAATGTGAGTATCGAATTGCCTACAATCTATTTGGAGTAATTAGTGGAAAATCAACAATCAAACTGAATTGTAAGATTTACTGGTAGTTATAAAACGAGTTTAAAATCTTACACGCATCTTTAAAATCAGGAACTGAAAAAACAAATCCTCTCTAGCAATGGTTGCAAAGAAAAAAGTTTTGAGTTTTTCTTTCAAATGTAGTTTAAGTGTTTCTCTAATAAGGCTGACTAAGAAAATTAACTAAGGCAATATTTACATAAGCAATGAAATTTGTGAGCAGTTTATTTATTATTTGAAACTGACTGATGCAAATTAAAACATTCAAACAGAAATTTTCCAATGGTAATTTCTGTATCATTCATTTATGCTATAGGTTGTTATTAAATTACTTTTTTGATTTTGCCATTTGCAATTTTAATTTATCATAACAATCATTTTTAATTATTATAGAATGTAAAAATACAATGTGTAATGAAATATGTCAGTATTATAAATTATTAAAATATGAGAATCATGTCTATTGAAAATTAAACATATGTGTATATATATATGTATAGAGAGAGATATGTTAATCAAAATTATAACTTTAATTAGTAACAGCCCTGTAATTGTGGAACATCGAATTTGTACTGTGATAAGGTCACATAAAAGAAGAAGAGACTGAAGATTAATATGGACAAGGATGTCTCGTGAGAATAAGCTGAAAATTATTATTTTTTAACTTACAAACACGTTTTCAATAGTTGTTAAAATAGTCTTTATTAAAATAATTAAATCGTTGGCAATGTTAAGAACGCAAGCTCGAGAGCCATGAATTGCTCTCGCACGTAAAATGTATAGAATTTGATTTTTGAAAATAGTAAGTTTCTCTCTTGTCGAATGGTATGTAGCCATTTTTTTTAGCATTCAATAAATTTTATTATGCTGTGTTTTGTTTTCAACCTGATGTCACAACCCAGGGTTTGCATAGCGGTTTCGGCCACTACACCACAGCAGTAAATATTAAAAGTTGGTGGCAGCTTTTAGGGATTGTTCCTGAGAGTAAATTTAGGAACGGACTTTTTCGCCTGTGAACTTGAGTTTTATGTGAACAGTCAAGACTTTCTTCTCTTCAAGAACGATCTAATTTTGCGTGCAAGGACAGTTCGCGGGTCGAAGCCTCTTCAGTGACAAGTGACAGTGTGTCAGAAGGGAACGCCGGAGGAAGCGTGATCTAGTGCCGCAAAATAGTGAAATTTCCCGGAAGATTATCCAAGTAGTGCCAGGAGAGTCAATCGAAGGCATCTTCAAAATTGGTGAGTACCATTTTGTGATTTTGGAGAAGTTATGCCAGTTATTCAAGACTAGGTTTATTTTGGATATAGTTCTGTTTTGGGGGATCAAAAGTTTTCTGGTGTTTTCTTGTGGTTACTGTTGCTAATTGAAATTAAATTGTTTGTTCTATTGTTTTAGTAACTGTTTAAATTGTATGAAGTATTGTAATGGTATGCTTTAGAAAAATTTAGTTAAATCAGTCCAGAGTTAGAGGACAATATTTATATAGTTGATATAGAGCAGGAAAAGGTTCCCTCTTAATTAGCATTTTTTTATATACGCTTTGTATGTAGGCATAGGTATTATCATTAAGTGTTGTAAGGCAATTTGTGTTCAGAATTGTTAGGGAATTATTCAGTTTTGGAGAGATAGACCTGTTGTTATTTTTTGTGTATTGTATTTCGGGGTAGGTTCATTTTTCTTTAATTTTCCATAATGGGTGAGTTTATGAGGAAAATTTACTAAAGCTCTGCTATTGGAGTTAGCGGAGGAGTTTGATACAAATGTTGTCTCAGGCAAATAGAGTAAGAGAAATTAGGCAGGCTATTCTAAATGCCGAGGACTATGAAGAAGAAGCTGCGAAAGAATACGCGGCAAGAATTTGGGCTGCGGCTGAGCAGAAAAGCAGATAGCAAATAGGAACAAGAGAGAGCAAAGAGGTGAACGTGAACAAGAGAGATCGGGAACGGGAAAACAATCGGGACGCGAAAGAGCAGAGCGGGAACATGAACAAGAGAGAGCGGGAGTGAGTTTTTTGAATTGGAAAGGTTAAAACTGATGAATGTGGTTCAGACTATTAGTTAGCCTAGCTTCCACGGTTTCAAAAGTTGAACAATCTAGAGAAAAAACGGTTAATTTGAAAGATCTAGTACCATGTTTTGAACCGAGTAATATAGATATTTCATTATTCTTTATGCTATTTGAGAAACAAGCTCAAAAAGAGAACGCTAATGAGATTGATTGGGTCTCGCAATTAATTCCTTTATTACCTCACGATGTAGCCCACTTAATAGTGAAAGAACCAGCGGATAAAGGGGATTGATTATCAGCATGTTAAGAAATTACTCATGCAGAGATTCAAGCTTAGTTCTTGGGCACTAAAAACAAAATTTGAAGAACATTCTAGAAAAAACGGAATGTTACGGGTGGATTTAGTGTATGAATTGAGAGTGTATTTAGAGAATTAGTTGGATTCAGTAGAAGTTCAAGATTTTGAAAGTCTTAAGGAACTTATGCTCACTGAGCAAATTAAGCGGCGAGTCCCTCTAGAAATAAGAGAGCACTATTTAGACAATTGGGAAGAATTTAAAACAGCATCCATTTTAGCAGAGAAATGCGACAAGTATGAGGCTTTGCGAAGGGATACGAGGAAGTTAGAACAGAGAGCGGGGTATAGAAACCATTTGAGAAAGATAGAGACTGGTATGTAAATTCTAACTGTAGTTATAATCAGAAAAGTAGTGGTCATCAAAGAATTAAATCAGAGGAGCATAGAAAAGTGGAGGCTCCTAAAAAAAAGCAATTTTTCATTGAAGCTGGTTTCGAGAAACAGTGGAAAATAAGGTGTTACCAATGTGGAAAGGACGGACATATCCGACCTAACTGTCCATCACTGGAAAAGAATAAGGCTAATCTGATGAATAATCTAGGAACGGAGAGTTTAGGAAAATTTTTTGAGCCGTATTTCAAGAAAGCAGTAATTAATGGGATAGAAAGAGAATATCTGAGAGATACTGGAGCTGGTATAGATCTGTGTAATAGTACTAGTGACTTATTAGGGGAAACTGTATGGGTGAAACAGTCTTTAGACACAGAATGTAAATGTTTACCTTTGGCGAAAGTCACCATTGAAAGTGATTTTGGTGTGGTCACCACAAAGGCAGCAGTTACTCCGGTAGTGTTAGATAAAGAGTACTATTTGTTAGGAATAAAACTGCACAGTTGATTGAGGAAATTAGGGAACGACCGGTTCTCTTGAATGCTGTGGAGACTCGTAGTCAGGCGCATGCGCGCAGGAGTTTAGAGAGAGTGAGTGCAAAAGACTTAGATTCCAGATTGGAAGAAAATAAAGAGATAGAAAGTGAAAGGGCCGTTAATAATGAGCATTCGGAAGAAAGGAAATTAACCAGTAATACGGAGGAGGACATTAAAATTCCAGACATCAGTTTAGAGGAAAGGGCTATTCTTGCGGATGTTTCGCCAGCAGAATTCTCGGAAGCTCAAGCAACAGAAACTCATGATAATGTTCAACACCAAACAAAATTTATTATATCGCATACTGAAGGAACACAAGATCTGCAGAATTCGATATTCAAAAAACCCACTTCTATCAAGACGTTTTCTTCTGAGAAATTGCTTCCAAATAGCCTTCCTGTAAAAATGATGTTCAATTATAATGCTGAATCAAATGCATATGCTATATGGCGTGCAATGTATAAGGAGACATTACCAGCCATTGGCGAGTTTTCTTTGGATAAACTGACAAATCATAAAGTCAGGGAAAAGAAATTGGGACCTCATCCAAATATAATTGTAAATGTTGAAGAGTGTCTTATCTCAATGATTGATTATTCGAGATCAGATCTACGGACAGCAGGAACTTTAGCATATGAAGTATATGGAGGAGCCAATCCTTTTTGTTCTGTAAACTGTTGTTTGAAAAATAATTTTTGTAGCGTTTTGGAATTATATTTTTGTAGATTTAGATTTGTTTGCATTAGTGTGTTTCATTTTCAAAAAAATTGTTAGAATTAAATGTTAATGAATTAATGAATTAAATGTTTTATCTTAAGCATTAGCGTAAAATTTGAGGAATATGCTTCTGTATAAGGCACACATTAGGTGTAGTTTAAATTATTTTTGTTGTATTTGTGCGGTTATGTTATCTAGAAATAAGTGTAGGGTAATATAACTGGCTTCTCTATTATCACTTAAATGGTTACCACTTGTGTTTTGAAAGCAGTGAAATGTATTTAGAATTTTTCCTTCCATAGTCAAGAAAAATTTCTTTATGAGGGGAGGAGTTGTGATAAGGTCACATAAAAGAAGAAGAGACTAAGGATTAATATGGACAAGGATGTTTCGTGAGAATAAGCTGAAAATTATTATTTTTTAACGTACAAACACGTTTTCAATAGTTGTTAAAATAGTTTTTATTAAAATAATTAAATTGTTGGCAATGTTAAAAACGCAAGCTCGAAAGCCACGAATTGCTCTCGCATGTAAAATGTATAGAATTTGATTTTTGAAATAGATAGGTTTTTCTCTGCAGAATTGTATGTAGCCATTTTTTTTTTTTTTTTTTTTTTTAGCATTCAATAAATTTTATTATGCTGTGTTTTGTTTTCAACCTGATGTCACAACCCAGGGTTTGCATAGCGGTTTCGGCCACTACACCACAGTACCATCACATGTACATGTTTGTGGTAATGAGATTGGAGATCGACTGGCCAGGGAGGGCAGTCTTAAGAGTTCTACTAATGGTGGCTTTACTTTCTTGGAACTCATCTCCCAGGTGAAACTAGAAATTAACTGTACCTGGAGCAAGGTCTCTATTCAAGAGTGGTACGATTGTAATAGTCCTAGTGCTGCTAAGACAGCTCTCACTTGGTTCCGCAGTAGTCGTCTTTGTTCTCAACGACATGTGTTGGGCTTTTAAGTTTATTCCTTTTGCCTGAATGCAATTTGACCCAGGCCACTCCTGCAAATGTCTTATCATGTATTGTTTTCCTGAAGAGCCAGCTATACTCCAGTGCAGATGCAGTTCTTTGTTGTTTGAAAATCTGCGGGTTAATGGACTTGACCTAGATGTTGCTCTCGATCAAGTGGCTTAAGAAACAAAAACAACAACCTTTTTGATACTCTAATCTTTGTTTGAAGTAGATTCCAAGTGACAACCAGGTATACCTCTGTGTGATGATGTGTAACTTTGCTGTTGTTATAACTTTGATCTTACTTGGGAGTTTTGAGGATTTTCTTTATATGTAACATGTATATGAGCTAGTTTCCGTTAGAAAATCCTGGAAGAAAGCATCCTTTCCCTTAGGCAGGTAATTCAGAAAGATTTGAAAATTAATAAAAGTCATCAGTAAAAAATTTTTTTACATTTCTACACAAGCATTGCTAATTTGAAAATAAATAATGGGAAAAAATGAATAAGTATTTTCATGTAACTCTATTTTGTCATCACAAATTGCCAAAATTATATACAAAGAAAAAAAAATTATTGGAATACTTCTGAATAATAATGTAAGATAGGCTGCATGTGAATGGCCCTTTAAAATGACCCATTTTTCTCCTAAACATTTTTTTTTTTTTTTTTTTTCATCAAATTGCTTCTGCCATCACCCTGAAACTTTTACAGTAATCAGCATTAAGTTTATTTTTAAATTAGAGATGCAGATTCCACCTATTCTTCCTAATAAAATTTTACTAAATCTATTGTGTTCCAAATAAAATCTTACTAAATTATATTGTGTAATGTGTTTATTTTTATACTTTATCATGAACTTAAAACTTTTTAAAAGCAGTTTTGCTTTGATTGTCCCCTTATGTACTTTCACTACAATTCCACGACCGCTTAAGAAGATATATGAATAGATATAAACAGAAATTTTTCATAATACATTATGTCAGAATTCCTTGTAACAATTTCTGTTATTTATTTATTTGACTTAGTAAATGCAGTAAACCTATCTAAGAAATCCTCTCACATTCTCTAGACAATTTCAATTTTCTGTGGAGGTGGTTGTCCGAGGAAGGCAGACTATCAGTGATGGCAGTTTTTGATTTGCATAATGATTTTACTTTTTTTCTGTTGATTTTTATCTATTCTATTGCTTAATGATTTCAGTCTGTCTGTAGCTATTGGAGTCTTAAAGAAAGATACTGGTGTAGAAGTGCAGTAAGTTGATTTATAAATAACGTTAAAGAACAAATGGGGAAATTACATATTTTGTGCTTCTTGAAAATCAATTTTCTCAAATACTGTAAGGATCTTGTTAGAATTATAAGTATTGTAAGTATCTTCACCTTTTGAACAGTATTACCAGCAGCAACAAACTAGTAATTGAAACTCTGTTGGCTGATAAATTGACTTAGAAACAGGGAAATTGATGTCTATTTTGCCTTTGTGTGCAGTCATCATAGATTCTATAGAAATGAAAGAACTAAAGAGGCTTTAAGTTTACCCATTGATATCCATATTAGCATTCCAAAGAGTTATTGGAAGTCATTTTATTATAAGAAGCTTTTTCTAAGTGAAATGAATATATTTCATTTTGTAATGTTGAGGGCACCAAAACGTTCTCCTCTTCTGCTTACCATAGACTGCATTCCAAGTCTTTTTATTCATTTTAAGGTAGCTCAATTTTTATCTGGCCGTGGTAAATTTACAATTTACCTGTTTTGTTTCAATCTAACATCAAATAATTTATGTGAGTGTTAAAAAACGTGCCTCAAGATGTGGAGCATTTAATTGTTTTCTTGTTCTACCTTTGATGGCCCTAGATTATGCTTCCAGAATGATTTGAAAAAGCTTGGCATAGCTTGGCCAGTGAACTTACCTGTTTTTATGAAGTCTAGATTGCAGTTCTCTGTTTTTGTTCATTTTATTTATGCATGTAACTTTTAATGTTTTAACTAAGTTACTTATATAAGCCCCATGTTGTACAACATTACATTGGTTATCAAATATTATTTATTATTAATGACAATTTCATCTCCAAGTAATGTACTGGCAAGAATCATCGTTAGCCTCTAGGTAATAAATAATAACAAAAATCTCATCAGTATTGTGAATGTTCTTGATATCACGATCTTTCATTAGCAGTTGTGACTATTGTGAGTATGTCTGTGTTAGTCTATCTATATTAGTATATATCAGTCTGTACAGACAAGAAATGGAAGATATTTTTTGTAGATCAGGCATGTAATAAGCAACATAAAGCATATTTGTCACAAATAAACCTAGAAGATTAAAATTGCATTATGCTGAGATATGGGCAAAATTAATACTTCTGAAAAATATCTAATTAAAAAAAAAAAGAGTTTATAATCCTTTTTTAAACATGTTGAAGATAAATTTTCTAATTTGTATAATAGTATTAGGAAATGGATGAATTCCAAAATTAAATATTTTTGTTATTTGATGGTCTCAACTGGATTAAGGAGTGGTTGCAATGAAAATATATTATTATCTATTAATCATTATTGTATAATATTATCTGCTATAAAAGGTATATATTTAATATTATTACAGAAATACAAATATTTTTTTAAAAGGAAAATTTATAATCCTTCAAGAATTTCCGTGCATTATCAACTGAAAATTGATCAGTAAATATACAAAGAAAGAAATTCTAGAACCAATTTTTCACAAAGGCTAAATATAGAAATTCAGATGAACTTCATAAAATCCTATAAATGTGAAATTAGTATATTTTAAAATGTAAAGAAGAGAAATTCAATCAACTTCAACACAACGACGTCAAGCGGAGGTATGTTGAACTTAATTACAGTTCCCCTTCCAAAATAAAATCCCTACTTTTCTGTATCCAGAATTAGCTGATGAACCATTTCAATATATTTTTTAATCTGAATAGTTCACCCAAAAATTCTGTTCCTCCTTAAAGCAGATGAAAATGGCAAAAATACAAACTAAAATCATTATTACATATTAATGATATTTAATAGTGTTACAATAGATCATTACCATTATTATTATTACCATATATTTAATATAATTACTGTTTATTATTATCTATTACAAAAGAATATATGTTTTTACTACAAGAAATGCTTATATCTAAAAATGTATTTATTATTTAAGGTTCAAGCACAGTTAGAAAGGGAGCAAGTTGCTTTTCAGTTATTTAAACAAGAGTGTCAAAACCACACTGCAAATAGTTCAGATTTAAGAAAACAGTATGACAGTGCGATCAATAATTTAAAATTGCGACATCAGAAAGATACTCTTCTGTTAAAGGAAAAGATAGATGAACTACAGAAAAAAGTGTGTATAATTCTTCATGTTTCCTTTTTTTTTTTTTTTTTTCCTTTTGTATATCAGTTGTATAGAAAACATAAGTGTAGAATGTATCTTTCCACCTAAAGTAATTTCTTAAATTGACGATAACCTAGAATGTTCGTATAAACAGAAATATTACTATTACTGGCCATTTTTACTTAATACAGGTAGCTCTCTTAAAACACAGCATCCTGTAACACGATCCATAAATTACGAGAATCCTTCTACAACATGGTTTACTTATAACATGGTTTTGCTCTAAATACGATAAGAAAATTGCCCAAGCAATCCAAAGAAATTTTAACAAACTCCACACGAAGTTTTCCATATTGAGCAAAGTGCCCATATAGGCATTTCACACATAAGAATCCTCGTATCATAAGTTCTGCCAGTTATCTTCCAAGATCTGATACCCTTAAGAACAAATGTCCTCAGGAAGACAAGCCACGTGGTGCAGAAGACCGTTGAATTCTTAACTGGTAACGAAGGAAAATCGTTTCCTTCCATGACCTTCAAAGCACAACAGAAACAATACCCAGTCTCAAGAGAGCACAATCACCAGGTAACTATGAAGAAACCTCACTATCGCAGAAGGTGAACAACATGAGGTCACAATAAGTGCTCTAAAATGCATAACTTGCACTTTCGGCTTCCAAAATTTGAATCCTCATCCCCGTGGCCTGAAAACAAAAGTGCTGGTTGGCAGACTGCGAGCCACAGTGTGTTAAAAAATAACATTTTTGTCTTTAAAACATTAAGTTTCAGCAACAAAACATGTCCGATAAAGATAAAAATAACAATGTTTAAGAAAAAATTTATTTCTTTAGAAGTAAAGATACAAATCTTCGATTATCTTTTAAAAGGAGAAAAGGCATCTTACATTACAAAAAGTTTTAATTTGAATGAAGCAACAGTCTGGATTATTAAGAAAAATGAAAAAGAAATAAGACGTGCAATTGCTGCAGGATCTTCGGCATCCGCAAAACATGCAGCTTGCCCCGAGCGCCAATAATTGAGAAGATGGAAAAGGCACTCAGCATTTGGATTGATGATAGCTGTCACAAAAGAATTCCGTTGGATGGTAATATAATTAAACAAAAAGCACTCAAAATTTTTAAGCACCTTAAAGAACAATGAGAACCTCTTTCAACTCAGATTTTGTGACAAGTAAAGGTTGGTTAAAAATTTCAAAAAGCGTTTTACAATTCATAGCATAAGAATTCAAGGAGAACCTGTAATGGCTGATTATGAGACTGCTAGCATGTATCCTGAAAAAATTCAAAATATTATAGAAGAACAAGGATACACAGTAGATCAAGTTTTCAATGCCGACAAAACTGGGCTTTAGTGGAAAAAAGTGCCCAGTAGAACCTTTATATATTAAAAAAAAAATCTGTATCCTGATTTAAGGTATCTAAAAATTGTCTGTAACACTACTTTTGTGCAGTAATGCATGAGGGGTATTTATGACAAAACCCTTGTTAGTTTATAGATCTTTAAACCCTTGTGCACTTAAAAATACGTAAATAAAAACACCTTGCCAGTAAATTGGAAAGCAAATCCAAGAGCATGGATAACTGGAAATATATTTAAAGATTTTTTTTTAATTTTGTGCCAGGCACTGAACGTTATTTAAGGCAGAAAAATCTGAGCTTCAAGGCTCTATTACTATTAAATTATGCTCTATGTCACCTAGAAGATTTGAATCATCCCAATGTCAAAATACTATTCCTAACACTACTTTGTTACCTTAACCATTGGATCAAGGTATTATTTATACCTTTAAAACATATTGCATAAGACGAGCATTCTAGTAGATCTTAGACATAACTGATTCAAAATTAATTAATGTAATGGAGGCTTGGAAGACATTTTCAATCAAGCAGTGTATCAACATCATATCTTTGTCTCTGAAATAACTGAAAGCATCAATGCTAAATGCATGTTAGAAGAAGATATGGCCTTCTTCAGTTGAAATAGGAGTGTGCATGAATCATCAGAAAAGGAAATTGGTGGCTTATTTGAACTTGATAAATCAATCGGTGGCGAAGGTTTTGTTGACATGGCTATTGACGATGTTCAAGATTTATTAGCAGAATTAGAAATTGACAAAGCAGATTTGATGGAAATGGCATCCAAAGCCATAAATCAAATTGATTCTGAGGACACTAGCACCGATAAAGATTGTGCAGTTAATAATTTAACATTAAACAAATTAAAAGCAGGCCTAAGCTTAGCTGAAAATCTCGAGTCATTTTTCTTGAGTGCAGACCTTTCCACTGAAATAAGCCAAAAATTCAAAAGGGAGCTGCAAAACTGTCTAGCTTCATATCAATAAATTTACAATGACCCGGTAAGAACTAGTAAGCAAAGTAAAATTACAGATTTTTTTTAAAGAGAGAAGAAAATGCCAAAACTTTAAATGAAAAAAGAAATTCTGAAAGTGAAAGCAATCTCATTCCGCCAAAAAAAAAAAAAAAAAAAAAAAAAAATTGTTCTAGGTTGATTATACTGAGCAGTGACAACAAATTTATTAAACTAAAGTCGCATTAAATTTAAATATGTAATATTTTTTGTTTTGTGTTGTATATACACATGTATGTTCAATAAAAATTAAGTTGTTTATGTAGAATTAAAAAATGTATCTTTTTAATAAGTTTTTGGAACGTAACCCCCTTTTTATACTGGCTCTGGGTTTCACACAACATGGCATTTTCTAAGAACTTATCTACTGTGTTATACGAGGGTTACTTGTATTTAAATTAGGCAAATGTGCTATTGTTGTTTCGCTATAGCAGTTTGAATGAATGAGCTATTTGATAATATTTATTATAAACAGTTAAAGTGTATGTACATGATCAGAATGTTCCAGCAAGATAAGTAAAAAAGTTGATTGTGTTTTTATCTAAAAATGTTGAAATTGCCAAGATATTGATAAAGAATTCTAAAAAATAATCGATAACCTTATGAAAACAACATTATTTTAAATAAAACTGTTTCCCATTATAAATAATGGACTGATATGAATTGGGCTAATGGTATATAAAAACAGCTGTGCTAGTATACCTCAAGATAATCTTTCTACAATATATGCAGATTTTAAATATGAAGTTGAAGTGCAATTAATAGTGTTTCTCATTACAATGACATTAATTATTGAATAATGGAAAATAATAATTATGCCATGAAAGCATTTAAAATTTATATCATATTTTTATCTTTTTAAAAATTAAAACAATGAAAAATGTGTGCCAAATTTTTATCTTTTTAAAAATTAAAACCATAAAAAATGTGTGCCAAATTTTTATCTTTTTAAAAATTAAAACCATGAAAAATGTGTACCAAATTTGGCTGTATGTTTCCTGGTGGCTTTAATTTTTTAAATGATAATATGACCAGCAAAGATTCCGAAAGACAGACATGGTATTAGGAATGATTTGAGAGATTTTAATATTATTTCTGGTAGAAAATTCAAGTTGCATTCAAATTGCGCTCAGCAATTACCATAGCAAATACAAATTAGTTTGGGATAAGTTTATTTTGAATGTAATTCACTTTCCCTATCCAGAATTTTTTGAGGTGAAGCACATGTGAGATTTTTATGAAGTGACCACTATTGTATATTTTTATATGGTATGCATGTATTTTGTATATGTGTAAATAGGTATTTTTGTCCATAAGGTTGAAGATGCAGAAAAATTAAAAAGTAAAAATACAGAATTGCAACAGAAATATGAAGACCTACAGCTTGAAAAAAGTGAGCTTTTTAATAAACTCTCTGCAAATTTAGCAGCAAGTCAAAGACAGTGTGAAGAACTTCTAGAATCAAGTGAGTATGCACCTTTATGCAAGTCTATTGACAAATATTTGCTTAAATTAACAAACTCAGATTTAAAAGAAATAATTAATCATTTATTTATTTATTTAAACAGATGTTCGAATAGAAAATCTGAATGTAAATTTCTTTATTGCTTGTAGAATAATGAGGGGAAACAATTTAATTAATTGTGTACAAGAAAGCAGGAAGTTTTCAGATTTGGTGGAGTAGTTCTCTGATTTAGACTCCTATATTAATTTAAATTCTGATTCAAGGTAAATTTTATTTTCAAGTCAAAACACAGCAATGAAACTTATTCTCCCCACACACTAACCTTAAATTAAACACAACAGTTGTCAAATTAACTTCAAGTAGCATCACATTTGCTCATTTTCTCACATTCAGCCTGTAAGCAAAATCCACTCTACTGCTAAAATGTTATTCTAATAATCTGCACTCTCACATTTACAACCTGAAGTTCATTTTCATCGATTATAATTTCAAAGGATGCTATTTAGGAATTAAGATACTTAATTCTTGGAGTTGGTGTTTCCAACCTTTTATAAAAAATAGATTGTAGATATAAACTTCAAAATAAATAGTTATTTATGTATTAATGCAACTGGCTGCACCAGCTCTGGTATCGATGCTAGTCTATCTGAATGGCAAATCAGTTATTCTAAATTCAGACAGCACTTAATGTAATATTTTGGCCTATGAGCATCGTTTACAAAATTTGTTTTTTCCAAATGGAAAGAAATTTTTGTTAAATTTCTCCTCGTCAACAGACTGAACACTTAGCAGAAGAGTTAACTGAAGTCTGTAATCATCGTCAAGTGTGATTTTAACATAAAAGTCTAGCATGCTCTTTGGTATTCAAGTACTATCCTTTAAAAAAACATTTTTAGTCATCGCTGGTTAGTCATTTCTCAGGCTGGTTAGTCATTTATGTTGATAGTCAAGTGGGGATAAAAACAAAATATTATAAATAATGATTTGCCAGGTTGGCATCAGTATCAAAGTGAAATTAAAAACTAGGATTCTCCACATGTTTTATACTAATCGTAGCATTTTCTGTTTGCCCATTATACCATAAATTTTAATAATCTCATCTTTGTATTATGAGAAACAGTGTAAAATAAACTTGGTTATGTAATTTTTTATAATTTTTGATGTGGCAATTTTATGGCCAGCAATGTATATATGAATTAAGTATTTGACTTACTTGAAAAATTCTAACAGCTTTCATTCTGTTCAGTTACAGATTGTAATTTTATATGTTGCTTTTAAGGGCCTAGTGCGGAAATAAGTAATTTGGAATTCCGGTTACAGCATTTAGGAGAAGAAAAATTGAAATTAGAGCTGCAGAACTCTGAACTAAAAGTGAGAATACATTTTTGTTGATGATTCTTTCAGTATGATCATCTAAAAATATTTTTATTAAAATTTCTAATTTTTTGTGAATGATATTTTACTGAAACCGAATGTTTAATATAAGCAGTAATGTTTCAGGTTAAAATAAATTCTGTGTATGTGAACCCCTGTTTGTTCTACTTATAAGCATTGTAAGCAGTATAGTTCTTTACTTCCCCCCCCCCAAAAAAAAAGTCCTAATCAGAAGATTGCATTAAGAATATTCTCAGTGTTTCTTTTAACTTTCTTTAAACTAATGGTCATACACATTTGGTTAACTGATAATAAAAATGAAAATGTTTGGCTGCTTTATATATTTATCAACAATTTTTTTATAAAAATTCTTGTGAATTTTCAAGGTTGATGAGTAATTGGATTTGCATTACAGGTATTAAAAACAAAAGGAAAAAAAGTTCTATACCTTAAGCTGTTAATTGTTATAAGCTGTGTGCAGCTAGAATATTTTTTCCAGAAAATTATTCAGTTTCTTCTTCTTTCTCTGAAAACGATGAAGCATGTTGTATAATGGCACGGAAGAATTTAAGCTTGAGTTCTACAAAATTATGATTAATTAAATATGCTTTAAGTGTTAATTTTAAAAACTTTAAGTGTGAGATTTAAATCATTGCATCAATTTTATATTCTGAACTAAGGTATTCATTTCATTTTGTCAAGAAATGAAGTTTTAATGTCCATTTTATCTACAGTGAAACCTTTTCCTGCCATTTTTTAATGAGATTGGGTGAAAAGAGATGTATGTGGAAAATGAATCAGCTAGGAAACTATTGTACACTGTAAATCAGTGACATTTACTATTTTCAGCATGAATTCAGTGCATTGAAAACCTAGTTTTTAATGAAATGCTATCCTTGTTTCTTGCCTTTTGACTGAATTTTGAGGGGGGGTTTTTTTGGGGGGGAGACTTTTTTAGATGTTTTATGCAATGCTTTTTGAGTCTCTTCGACATTCAGTAACATGTCTTATTTATTTTGTGTTTCTCCAAAATCCTTGTTGTTCCAAACTAAAAACTAAATTGAAACTGAAATTAACAGAAGTGAGGCTAAACAATATGAATCCAAAAGTGAGGGTTATGTACAAAACATTATTACATTACTATGTTTTCAAATTTATACTCAAAAGAAAATGTATTGCAAATAATACATGCATACTTAAAAACTAAGCAAAGAAGCAATCTTATTTTGGTCTAAATTTTAATTAAATTATATCAAGGATGAACAAACACTTTTTAGGAGACAAAAATAATAATAAGTTTGCGGTTTTTTCTTAGGTTTTACACTGACATGCTTCTCTTCCTATCTGCATACATATGTGCTTTGCACTTTTTTCCAAATTTTTAAAAAAGCAGAATAAAGTATTTTTGCGACTCTGTTCAGACACTAAAATAAAGAATGTTTATTGTTCTGGAAAATGCAGAAGTTTTTTTTAACGCCAAAAATAAAAGAAGTGTCTTTTTGATGCTATGCATGGAGAAATGGTAAAATGCATATGAATAAAAGTAAGCACCTTTCAGAAAAGTGTCAGCATAAGCTGTGTCTACCATAGAGTGCAATGCAACTTTACATATGTCGTCTCATGCTTTACATAATATTATCCAGCAACTATTGTGGCAATTGATCCCACTCATCTGTCAGTGCAGGAATAAGGATGTTTCTGGTCATTGGAGAATATTTTCAACCAGCAAGGTGTTTTTCCAGAACATCCTAAGCATTTCAATGTTTTTATGGAACCTGTTGGCCAAACAAGACATATATTCTGTCCTAGGTAGTCTTGAACACCAAGTGCTTAGTGGCATGGTATGTTTTCATCTATGAAAAGGAATTTATCATTAAAAATACCATAGAAAAGACGAACTTAAGATACTAGAACTTCATCAGTGTGCCTCTTGGGGTGTCATACTCCCAGTTGCAACCACATGTTAGGGCATGCATCTGTTGATCATGATGCTAGCCCATACCATGCTACTGCATCTCAGATATCAGTCCCTTTCTTGGATATTTTCTCTCACAGTTTCTCATGCAGTATATTTTCAATACTTTCACATCGATATTGTCAGATTGTCTACAATCCGATTGCAGACTGAGAATAGTATACAAGTATTTCTAAAATGAAAATTTAGTTTCATTTTGGAATTTCTAAATGCTAGATAAAATTTTGTTGGGAAATAGGATTACTAAAAATTGCTAAGGACTAGTCTAGTCCCTCTAGTTGAATGACAGCACATGACTAGACTATAAGTAATATTTTAATAATGTAAGTATTTGTAATTTTATTGTTTTTTAATTTTATTTTTTGTGAAAACCTTTAATTCATAAAACTACAAGCACCCATGGGAAACCATTTGTCAAACGCTGCCGTAGCATATTACGCATTAGTACTTGTTATTTATTAAAATTATCTTTTTCTGTTTCTAATTCCTCCTGTGGCATACTGTGGGTTCGATCTTTATATGTTCTGTGCCAAGCTATAAATCCTCAAAGATTTGACTAACATCTGTTAGCCATTGTATTAAATAAATTTTAGTGGGGACCCACAGTTTAAAATAAATTTATTTAAGAAGGAATGTGCAACAATTTTAGCGGAGGCTCTTTTGAGGGGAACTATTTCTTCCCACCTTGAAAAGTGCTCCACAATAATGAGTAAATATCTATTTTTATTATTCTCACTATGTGGGTATGGACCTAATAAGTCAATTCATATTAATTTATTTGGAAAAGTAGCTTTTATGCTATTTATATACATGGCCAATTTAAAATGAACATTGTTAATGAATTAGCAAATGTTACTGGGCTTGACATATTGACTAACAAATTTTTGTAGCTGTGGGAAATAGACAGCTTCCTGAGTTCACTGCACCATTTATCTTATGTCGAGATGGCCTGAAATTGGCACATCATGAAGTTCTTGCAAAATGTTAAATCTTAAACTTGCTAGGATAACTGGTCTTAATTCATTACTTTCATTTGTTACTTTAAAACAAAAGATAGTCAATTTCATAAGTAGCAGCTCTGTTCCTGATAGCTGTTATATCGGGGTGTTCAAAATGATCAGCATCTTTAAAATATGCATATATATTTTAAAATTCTAGATCTGTTTATAAATCAGAAAAAATAGTTTTGCAAGAATGTGAAATCTTTGATGTTAACATTGCACATTTATGAGTTCATTTCCCTCATCATCTAATTTAATTCTAGATAGAGTATCTGCAATTACGTTTTCTTTCCTGGGAGTATACTTAATTATTAAGTGATTTTCTTGCAGTTTAAAGACCCATCTTATGAGTCTTGCCCAGAAATTTATCCCAGAATACAAATGACCCACGTCGACATGATCTTTATAATTTTAACAAGTACTTTCCCCAAATACACTTAAAACTTCTGAACTGCCAAAGTTTCCCTTTCTGTAACCATATAATTCGCATTAAATTAAGTGTCTTTATATGTTTCTTCATAATTTCGTTTTTGACTTTTTCATAATGTTAGGGCTTTGCTCTACTGGAGCGGAAGCATTTCCTGTATATATGCTGTGGTCTACAATTAGAGTGAGCCCTTGCTTATGAGCAAATAAGTTAGAAAAATGATGTACCAGCTGTTCCAGCTTGTTTTTCTCTCCAGCTGACAGGTGATTCATCTCAATGGCCAGAGGGTGGGTTTCTTTTTTCTCATCTTCCTTTATATCCAGCTGCATTGTCGCCTGCTGAAAATTTATTTTAGCCCCCCTTTAAAAATTCCGTTTCCAAAATTAATACAGCTTTTAGATTTTTCTCAATGAAGAATACTTTTGCTCCATCAGTCCCAAACATTCTGGATCATGTTGGTGAAAAACGTTTTCCACTAAGAAACCGCTTTTAGTAACTGTGTCCAATAGTGCATCTGCTAAACATTATTTAACAATATCTGTAGAGCCAAATTTTTTATAAGTACCATATTTAATTGAATCTTAGAGGGATTGTCTTGCCTCTGAAGTAACTGTATCCTCTTACTTCCAGTACCCCTTATTAGTTTAAATTCTGCTTGCCTCTTTCTCCCTGTTTCTTCTTTTGACATTTTTCTTCGTGATTACCACTTGCAGTTGAAAATTCCTGTCTACTTTCAAAATGTTTATTATCATCTAACTGTAGCCTTCCGTGTGATGCAGACCCATAAAAGTGTATGTTCAACCTCTGATCATATTCTGCTGTGTGCATACTTTCTGCAACCCTCCTTCTTTCAAACTTTACCTCAAGCTCAAACAAACTCTCGAGTGTGCTGGAGGTTCTTAACTCAAAGCAATCTTGAAACTGTGTTAGCAGTCTAGAAAAAATAATTTGAATTATCTCTGCTTCAGGCCTGAGTAATATAGATAATGCATACATAGATTTTGATATATAGCAAATTAAAATTTTGAATTTTTCATAATATAAAGTCAGTCAGCTCTCCAACCTTCAACTTCTAGTATTTACTAGAAGGTTCTACTTCTAATCTGGCCATGTCTTTTACTATAGGGAATGCTTTTGTGAATTTTGTGAAAGCAGTTTTTAAAACCTCAAATTTATAGGTTTCACTTTCTGGTTCACTCAGCAAGAATTTTCTAATGCATTTGTACCAACTGAGTTATCCATCCTCGTAATGTGGCAGTTGCTATATTAAATTTTTGAATTTCTGGTACTGGATGATGCAAAAAAATATGAATTTAAATATTCAAGAAAAACCAATATCAAATTTCTTCCATCAAAAGTCACCGTGAGTTTCATTGCTGCATGCATCATATCCATGATGAAGCCAAATCCTTCCATTGGATTTACTTTTGCTGATAAAGCTTGCAATGCTGAGGGTATTAGACCAAATGGTGGTTTTTCTTGAGCCATAGTCCTTACTTTAGTCTGGGTGCCACTGTAGCGTTTAAAGTATTTGGGTATCATCCAAGAGGACTAAGCTCTTTGGTAGATGTTAAGAAACTTATTACTAAGTCTAAATAACTACTGAAACTTGGATGTAAAAGACTATTTAAAACTAAATGATATGAACAGAAGGCTGATGATTACAACTCTGCCAGCATTTATGGCACGAAATTCAAAGTAATGAGTTCAAAATGTAAAACTTATATTTAAATAAACTAGTAGTCAAAGATTACTCAGAGCAAATTAACACGAAGTTGGCTCAGCACTTAAGCAGTATGGATTTTAACTATTGGTAATTATAATGCAAGGCTGAAGGCAAGAACTCTTAACTAAAATAGCAATCTAGTAATGTGGCCACAAGGGGCAGAACATGTTGTCTTACTATCTTAAAACACTAACCTTAAATACTTGCAAACTAAATTTAAGGGAGAAGTGACAGTACAGATCCAAAATATTAAATAACTGATTAGTAAAATTAAAGGGACTTCGCCCTGGTTCTTTTTAATTTTTCATAGTCCAGTATGTCATGTAAACTACAATTTGAAGTATATACAGTACAAAAATCGAGATCAGGACTTCGGTGATCCCGGATTTGGGATTTTTCCAGATATTAGATCATCAGTCTAAATCTAGTAAGATGGCATGCAGAAATTATAAAATTGAACATATGAAATCATGATCTAGAACCATACTACATCTGTGATCTAGAACCATACTACAGATTTCACCATCCTTTTAGATTGATGATTATGGCGTTGTCATTGCAATGAAAAACTTCTGTTAACAACTCTTCTTCCCTGAATTCTGCCGCCCGGTGTGGCCATGCGAGCTAAGGCTTTATGTGAGTAACAAATCAGTTATTCTTAATTCAAATAGCACTAAATGCAATCTTTTGGCCTATGAGTATCATTAACAAAATCTATTTTTATCATATGAAAAGTTTGTTAAATCTTTCCTCGTCAACATTTCTTAACTACTTCTAACTTACATCTGTAATCGGCACCAAGCGTAATGTCAACAGAAAAGATTACTGTACTCTTCTTTATTCAATTACTAATATAAAAAAATTTTTAAGGCGTTGTTGCATGAGTCATTACTTAAATTGTCATGTGTTGATAAATATGCAGTGATGAAAGAAAAATATAATAAATAATTATTCACCAGGTTGGCATCAAGGGTTAAAATGTTAGTTGGTGTAAAATCAAAAATGTTTCTATGTATAATGTTTTGATTTGAGATGCATGGCTAGCAGATACGCAGTCAAATTATTGATCACACAAATTTATGCTAAAATGATTATTTCTTCAAAAATGATGTATTTATTTAGTGCCAAAGTGAGATTAAGAATCGGGACTCTGGGCATGTTTTATTATGATGGGGGAAATCAAATACGTAAAGCATACACAAAAAAAATTTTTAAATTTTTTTTTTTTTTTTTTTTTTTTTTTTTTTTTTTTTTTTGGTGGTGGTGGCTTTGAGGTTTGGGTTTTAGATTATTCCGGATATTGGACTTCCGGATCACTTTGTACTGTATTCCTCTTTTATAAGTGCTGGCTGCTATATATCTCTTGCTTTAATGGTTATTACAGTGCTGACAATGATACTTAATTCTGCTTTCTTTTAAATGAACTAATGTTTACAAGATGCTTTGAAAGGTTACTTCAAGCTGTTCAAAATTAACAATAATTATGTAGTCCATCATTCTGTAATGTGAAATAGTATTTCAGTCTAAGTTAATGCTGTATTTTTAATTTTTTATTGTAAGGGGGTTTAATTAAAATATTGTAACCATACTATTAGACTAAAAAAACATAAGTCTTTTTTTTTTTAAAAAAAAAAATCTGCTAGATTTAGACTTTATGTTATGAAAATTTTGTAGTTAAAAAAATCTTTGTTGTTTTTGTTTAGCATTAGAAGTAATTAAAGCATTCATTTAAAACAGGATGAAATAAAATCATTGGAAGCTGAGTTGAAAACAGCACAAGCATGGCAAAAGTGTGATTTACCACCTAATTCTCAAGAAAAGGTTAAATCTAATAGTGAACAAAGTTTAGACAAAGTATTATCTAGGTAAAAATACTTTATTTGTTAATGAATTATTTGTGTAAAATCTATGGTATTGATAAACTTAAGTAGTAGTAAAACTATCTAGGTTAGTAGTAAAACTATCTAGGTAAAAATACTTTACTTGTTAACTCTTTCGCATCGAGAGAGGGCAAAATCTCTTTTCCCCAAACATCGAAAACGCCCGTGTCTAAGAATTTCTCCTGGAATGCTTTTCCTTTCCCCATGACAAATTCAATACTACAGCGCTAACAATAACCTACTTAAGTAAAGTGAGAACTTCTTTCTTGGATGCTTTCACCGTGTGTGAAGTTCCCCCTTGGGACGAGATTGCAACTTTGTGCATCATAAGCTAAACACTGACAGTAAACAAAGGAAAGAGAAGGTGCATTAAAATAATAGAACTACTTTTAGTAATTCAGAAGTCAAACAACAAAAACTTTTAGTAGCTTCAAAAGAATAATTGACATGTCATTTAACAACACCTGAAAGCAATGAGTAAGGCAGTAATGTGATGGGGGGAAGCATTAGGTAGGAAATTATTCAGGTGTTTCAGCCGCCAGCTGATGTCTGAATGCTTAGGCGTTTTGGGCGACTTCGATGCAAAAGAGTTAATGGATTGTGTAAAATCTATGGTATTCATAAACTTTGTGTTAGTAGTAAATTATGCAATTTGTGCTATTGAAGGGGTCACATAAAACCATAAAATAAGGCCAAAATGTACATTATAAGGCAAAGAGCATCAAAAATTTGTATGTGAAATCATATGCATAAAGTTTTCATATAAAAAATTTATATCATCTACCAGGAGGTCTAGGTATGTTTTCTTATCTGGCTTCCTGTCGGTTGGTGCTAGATGCTTTTGAAATTCTTGTTACACCAGTGAAATAATATTTACTGTTCATATGCACTAAATTTTTGCTAATTTGTGCTATGTCGATTTATCTTGTCATCTTATCCAAACCCACAGTTATCAATTAATGCACTCTTAAATGATTTTAAGATTTTTTCACAACATTGAAAAATTATGCAAACATAGTGTGCATGCAACTCTGTGAATAATGTCTGATGTCTTGGTTTCACACTTTTGTGTTAATTTGGTAATATAAATATAACTCTACATTTATTTTGATAAAAGCAATTCATTAAGCTTTGCTTATATAACTGTTATGAGTTTCTCTCTTGAGCAGTTTTATTTCTTGCTTAGTTATTTCTTAATACAATAAATTTCAAAAAGTCTTTTAAAAAAAGTTTTTTCTTAATTCCAGAAATGGCATTTTTATTTAAAATTTATGTGGAAAATTATTTATTGGCAAAAAATAGATAGGCAAAAGAAAGGCACCATTAGAGATTAGTTGAATACTCTAATCAACTAATCTCTAATGGTGCCTTTAACGTATTTTTTTAGATCATCCTTTAACGTATTTTTTTAAATGAGTAGTATAAATAAAAGTTAAAATGGTGTATTGCAAAAATTGGATAAAATATTAATACAATAAAATAAATAAATAAAAAAAAAAAAAAAGAAGAAGAAGAAGAAGAAGAAAAATGAAAGGTTAGTTGATTAATGATAATGAGACATGGTGCTGTGGGTTGAAGAAAGCTAAATACTATTGTTAGGGATATTCATCATATTCAAGCAAAATTGCTTTCTTATTTTAGCTTTAAATTTACAACCGTTTATCTAGATAGGTGAAAATAAAAACCCCTGAATGTTATAATCATTAGAGGAGTCTAAATAAATAACATAAATGTTTTTCTTTCTGAATAAATCAAATTTCACATGGAAGCAGAGGTTCTTCCCTAGGTCTCATATATATTCCTCATATATATATTTTGTTTCTTCATAGGGAAATAAGACATGTATTCAGCATACAGTATCATTGCCAATTTTACTAGCTAATAAAATAAACATTGCATTAATAACATGATTTTCTTTTACGAGTGCAATTCAGTCATAAAACAAAATACCAGAGCTCATCTTAATCTTTACTTCAATGCATTCTTGATGAAATTCAGTTTCATTTAAAATTATGAAGTACTGGATTGTTCTGGCTGAATTAAAGTCCTGTTTGTATTTATTTCAAATATCTTTTTAGGTAAATAGTGTACTATTTTTTACCCCCCCCCAAAAAAAACTTTCCATAATTAAGACCTAATTAATTTCTCTTTCATTTAGGGGTGCAGATTTTCAGAGTGAGTTGGAACAAGCATTGAAACACTTGCAGGCTTATAGAACCCAGAATCATGAATTAAAGAAACAGTTAGAATATTTGAATAAAGAGCTCCCACTCTGGCAGAAAAAAGCAAACCTATTTGAATCTCGTGTGTCTGATTCAGAAGTAAGTAATTCAGTTTCACATATAGGTGATAGAATAAATGTATTACATGCATTTTAAATTCTTTAATTACAAAACATTTAGCGTTACAATATAAAAATAATTTTGGTTATTATCTTGTGTAGATTTACATTAGCCACCTTCATCATCCAAGCAAGGGTAGCCCAAACTTATTTAAACAATTTAGGTGTTGTGATACTTTAATGTAAGTAACATTGTTCACATGATTGTGATGTGTCTTATGTATCAGAAGGTCTTACATATTCAGAGGTTCATAGTACCAAGTTAATTTCCATTTTTTTTTTTTTTTTGTTTTTGAAAAAAAAGGTAGTGTTTTTCCCTCTCCCTTTTCTGTGATTCTGCTATTCAGTATTTAATGTTACAGAGTTCTATTGAATTCTCTGTTTAATGATCTCTTTAGCAAATAGCACAGGTAATGTTTTTCAGAACTTTTGGAATTGAGTAAAATACATAAAATACAAGTTCATACTAATTCTACACAAATTGAAGTCCCCCCCTTTCTGTAATATTTAGAGAATTTTTTATTTCCAGTTTTGATATTCAGTTTAAAAAATTCTTCACTTTTCTAATTTTAGCTTAAACCTCATATTTTTTGCTGAAAAGTTCTTTTTACCTGTTTGATTTCTTTTCCCAGGGAAAAAGAGAGGCAAATAATTGCCATCTTTCAAACATTTATTCATTTCTGATGCTTCATCTTTAAGCCTGTCTATATGAAACATAATGCCATTATTAATTGATGTATTAAACAACAACAAAAACAGAAACAAAAGCAAATTCTTTATGTAACATTACCCTCAATAAGCTGTAATAGTGAATTATTTGAAATTCTTTATTACATCATATTTAAGAGGTTGCAACTCATAACATCAGATGACAAATGCTAAATTATTTCAATTAATTTAAGCCCTTTGATTGCAGTATGGGTAGAGTAACTATTTATAATTATTTTTAATGAAGGTAAGTTTTTTATTAAAATACATATTTTTACATATTGTCTTGATCCATTTTTGTCATAAATTTTATATTTTTTGCCAAATTTCAGAAATTATAAATGATTTTTTTTTAGTTTGTTTTTTATTGTACTAGAACTAATTTTAAGTTTCTAAGCATTGTGATTTTGTAATTTTCTCCATCATAATTGGTTTAAGTTTTTCAAATCTTTTAGATTAAAATGATGTAAAACATTCAATCTGTTCTTTTCTCATACCAGTAAAATTTTTGGAGCTAAGAGACAAAAGTTTTTTGGATAAAAGAGAATGTAATCTACTTCTATTCAAAATGAATATATGATTCAAATAGTTGTAAAATCTTTTTTAAACTGAAGCATTTTATGCATTTATTACATTTTATTTGATTGATCAGGTTTCACACAGATTTTCTTACCTAAACGTTCATGTTCTTTACTTCATCTATTCGTTAATGTCAAGAACTAAATTTCCCTTGCTGCTTTTTTTTTTTTTTTTTTCTATTAGAAAATTGCTTTTGGAAGGCTTTTAGACAAATGGAATATTGTTATTTCAATATTTTAACCACCAATTTAATAGTACTTCAGTATGGTATTAATTAATAGTAACTTGCATATTAAAGTTATTTTCCTGTATCCATTTTGCATTAAATTTTAAGTTTTATCTTTAGCAATAACATCATAATTTGAAAAATGTTTTTTTTTTTTTTTTTTTTTTTTTTTTTTTTTTTTTTTTTTTTTTTTGTGTGTGTGTGTGTGTGTGTGTGTGTGTGTGTGTTAACCTTTTTCCTTAGCAAAAGCAGCCTTTAATAGTATGGTTTTTCATTAATGTTGATTGTTTCTTAAAGCAAGTAATTATTATACTTTCTAAATCATTTAGGACAGAATGCCATAAATCATCCAGAAAGTGTAATACTTTGATGCATGCGTTAATAGATAGCATTTTCTCGTAATGATTTTTGACATGATATGTGCATTCATAGATAAATTATATGAATCATCTTTAATGCATACACATCCTGAGCTAAAAGTTGTATATTTGTGTAGATATTTATGTAAAATGTTTCTATCTTTTTTACTTAAATAACATCAAAATAATGCCATTTTGCAGATTTTTTTTGCTTTTATTCTTGCAGGAAAAAATAAATTCATTTCCAAATTTATGAATAGCATAATTTTTTTAAAAATTTTTACAGTCTTTATCGTATCATTATTATTTTCTCACCAACTCGACGGCGTAAGGCCTCTAACTTTTGATAATACTCTGCTTAAATAGCTCTGCTTAATTTTCAGAACCATTTAACTTCCTAAACCCACTAAATTTATTTTGAAAAGAAAGCCCTTACAATTTGATCTTTAACAAGTTATTTGCCTTAAAATTCAAAAAGTTAATTATTCTATAAGGTGTAGGGCCTTGAGCCCAGGTACCCTGGTGTTTGACACCACTCTGCTAGGAGGAGTTATTCCTTTCTCTGTACTTTATTAAAATGTTAAATATTGTTATCCATTTTGATAATGGCTACAAATTTGACGACATTTCAGTTTGTCATTAATAGTCTTTATGGCTTTTTATTTTATCATTTTTGGCTGTGTAAAATGTAGTTACTTGATTATTTATTGTTAACAGCGTTCATTACATTCTGCAAAATTTTATGTTAAAATGAATGAGGGAAAGGGATGAACTACAAATAATCTAGATCTATGTTGCATTTTAGAAAAACATAAAACTTAATATAAGGTATCTTTTCTTTTGTTGTCAGTTTTCAAACCTCATGCTGAGCTAATGCAAATGCAAGTATTTTATGCCAGAGATCCTTTTACCGAACAATAGGAATGCCTGTCAGTTGTCATGTGATTTTAATATCCAAACACTGATAGTTTCTTTTGAGGTTCTATCCTTGGTAGATGCATTTTTATTACTCTGCTTATGTATAATACAGACAGAAGTCAGTTTCCTTTTGCATGTCTTCCATGAAAGCTTTCTCTGCGAAGATAGAGAGACTTTATGTGCTTTGCTGTAATCAGATATATGAAATAACATATGAGGTAGTAGTGTTTCCTTGTATCAGAAAACAAACAAACTGAGATCTAAACAAAATTTGTTGGCAGATTGATCAATATCTGTATATTTATTAAATTTAAGAATTGTTTGTTGAATTTTTCCTAGCATAAAATCAAATTCAATTCAACTCAGTCTTTCTAAGATACAGTATGAGTTTTAAATTTAAGGTGATATTGCATTTAATCACTCTTTTGATTTCACTGCATGGAAATATAAGCTGGTGTAAATTTTCTTTACATACATAAAAATGTTGATATTTCATGAAGTTGATATGATTTACCTTCTTATGGAATGAGGAAATTTAATTTTTTATTATTGTATCCAGTTTGATCAAATTCTTTCTGAAGTACAATGAATGGCAGACCATATCCAGAAGCAAGGCAAGTAACTTGTTGGCCGGTTCACTTCTCAAAGATAATATTGTTACAGATTCATTCTCTAAAATGGACTGTAAATAAAACTGGCACTCAATGTAAAGACACTCATTTATTAAACCTACTGCATCTCGTACTCTTGTCGACTAACTCACCAGTAACAATTTTTTCTCACCAGGGGCGCTGCGCTCGCAGGCACGAACATACCGCCCGGCGTTGACGTGGTTACATTCAACAATTTAAAATTTTCACAAGTATAGCATTGCAACACAATCTAATTACAATATAATAACATAAATCTTATGGATATACATCTTGTAATTACTTTAATTTTACTCATTTAGGTAAAGGTAAAATGCAAATTTTAGAAATTGGCCTTATAAAAGTTCCATTTTTTGTTTTTACTTTTACGACTCTTACTTTATTATCTTTACCTGCTAGCGTTTCTATAATTCTACCTAGTGGTGTATTATTAAACAGGTGTATTATCTTCTCATAGAATGACCATAGTACCAACTTCTACAATATTTTTTCCATAATATCATTTATTTCTTTGTTGAAGTGTACTTAAATAATTGTTTGACCAACATTTCCAGATGGACTGAATTACTTTCGTTAATTTTTTCCAGTTGTTTAACATGTTATCATTTGCATTTAAAATGCTGGGTTCTACTAATGCAGTTATTGGTCTTCCAATCAAAAAATGACCAGGCTTCAAGACGTCAAAGTCATCTAACTCAGCTGACATAGGATACAGTGGGCTTGAATTAAGTATCCCCTCAATTTGAGTAATTATAGTTAAAAATTCCTCCAATGTTAATTTTAAATTTCCCACCACACGTTTGAGATGATGTTTGACGTACTTGACGGCTGCCTCCCAGAGTCCTCTGTGATTAGCAGCACGTGGAGGAATGAAAGTCCAATCAATGCCCTTGATGGATAAATAATTACCCAACTTCTCGTCTGGTTTGTTGATCAACTTGTTCAGTTTTTTTTTCAATTCTTAAATTACTTCTAACAAAATTTCTCGCATTGTCGGAAAAGATACGTGCATACTTACCTCTTCTGCTAACAAATCTTTTTAATGCTGCGATAAAGGCCTTGCTAGAAAGGTCTGTAACAAGCTCCAAATGACAAGCCTTTGTTACAAAGCAAACAAAAGTGCATAAATATATTTTATTAAGAACTCATTTCCTGTGATTTTTGTACCTTATCATAAATGGCCCGCAAAAATCAACCAGAAAAATCAACTCCTCCAATTGAATGGGAAGTTTGGTGTAACTCTTTCTTGTGGTAAATGGGCCATGAGCTGGTCACACTAGGGCTGGTTTTGCTTTAAAGCAAATCATACAGTCATGGACTATTTTCCTACAAAGATTACGAGCACCTAAAGGCCAAAATTTCTGTCTAATATTGCACAGTAATCCTTGAGGTCCAATGTGCATGTATTTTTTATGGATCATATATGCTATTAAGATCGTTAATCTATGATTTTTCGGCAATATTATAAGAAATTTTCTTTCCAAGTTATACTTACTATTGGCTAGTCTTCCTCCTATTCGCAAAATATTTTCCTTATCTA